CCTGTCGTATTTCCTGCTGTTACTATGGGGTCTTCAGTGTTTCTTCCTGGCTTTTCAGAAGCCGCTGGAGACTCCAGCAGTTCACTAATGATGCAGCAGAGTCTGCTTCCAGCTGCAGGCCTAGACCTTACAGTCCCGTAGCTGTAGCACTGTACCCGTCATGGGGACATGCATTCTTTTTTCCACCAGAATTTTAAAACTTGAGCAGGGCATTTGTCACTGTCTATTGAGAATTTAATCAACTGCAGAGTAGAAGCAGCTTTGGAGGTCAATGCAGCCCAGCCTGAAAGAAGCTGTTTTGTATCGTGGCTGTGAGCAGATCTCACACAGCGCTTGTTCACATCAGTGTTGCTAATGTCAAAATAGGGCTGCCGGATGCCCCAAGAGGGGCAAGCACCACGGTGGTCATGCGAGTGCGTTAGGAGCGAGAGGCTCCAGTCGAGGCCAGGGCAGCTCTGTGCTGGCCTCCTTCTGCACATACTTCAGCGGTGAATAACGTAGCTAGAGTAAGAGAAGGGGCAGCTGTGGAGTGCCTGAGCCCTTGCTGAGCGGTGAGGCCAGGGCACCTCTGTGCTGGCCTCCTTCTGCACATGTCAGCGGTGAATAACGTGGCTAGAGTAAGAGAGGGGGCAGTCGTGGAGTGCCTGAGCCCTTGCTGAGCGGGGCTTGTGCAGTCCCTGCGTGTCTTCGCTTTGCACAAGAGCCTCTCCCTTGCAGAGGTGGCTGCCTGGCCGCTTCCTGAGGGATGGGTGGGCAGCCAAGTCCCAGGCTTTTCACAGGGACTGATGGCCAAGTATCTCTTATTTCATTACCAGGATCAGCAGTAAAGTATCACGATATTGAGTCACTTGGCTTTTCTTCTGTATTGCTTGCTGGAATTTGCCAAGTTGTAAAGAGAATACAACTCTTTTGTATTGTCGTTGTACTCTCCTAGTGTTAAGAAACATTGCTGGTTTTTGTTAATATTTATTAAACATTTAGAGATGCCTTTACAAAGGGCCCTTTGTGATTGATATTAATAGGAAGTGCTTGTACACCACAGCATGAGCTAAAATACAATGGTCTAAAAAAGCTCCTTCACAATCTTCAGTAGTTTTCCTCCTGAAAATCTTGTCCAACATAATGCCCCCTCTGCTTTCTTCCTCTGTTGAATACATGGATCTTGCATTCCTGGAAGCAAACACTGTCCAGGCTGTTTAACAGTATGGAGGAAGTCAGTGAGATGCCTCAGAGGAAATATTCAGCTTCAGCTTGACTCCTGTCTACGGTGGAGATGAGTATTGTAGTGGTGGTGGACATTTCCATTGAACTACAAATCAAATAGATTGTTTCATGGAGAAATAGGTTTAATTCTATTCAAGCTGAAGGACTTGAAGCATTTTTCTTATGCAGGCATATGCAGGTATTGATCAAAAGGCAAGATCTAGTTTTGCTTGGCATTTTTAAAGATTGCCTTCCAGTAACAGCTCACAAGACTAATGATGCCTTCATTTCTGTTCCTACGGTTCCAGTAACACGAGTGAATCAAGTAGTTAATGTAAGAATCAAAAGACTTGTTTTTTTGCTATTAATGTAAAAATATCTAGCAGTCATCTAACAAGTTAAGGGGAATCCATCCCTAGTCCGTGCAAGGAGAAGTGTCATGAAAACTAGTGCTGGCATCAAAGTCAGAGTTGTAAAAGTAATTCAGGAGAATTGGATTACTTTAGCCCATATATGCAATAGAGTTAGAAGTGCTGCCCTGTGCGTTGCTGCTGCTCAGTGCAAGGAGATCAAGTTGCCCTCATTGTGTGGCTGGCTTGGAGCAGGCCGTCGCAGTCAGAGGAATGTGTTTCCCCGTGCCTCATCCCAGGCACTGCTCAGCCGTGGTCCGGCCCCGCGTGGCTCTGAGCACAGTGACCCCCGCGCCGCTCGCGTGGGGCTGGCCCCGGAGCTGCGACCGTGGGGCCCGCGAGCCCGTTGGCCACCAGGCCGCCCTGCGGAACACGGCCCGTGCGTGTGCGAGGTGGAAAGGTCGCTTCTGCAGCCCGAGGGGAGATAATAGAAATGAAAGACGCAATTAGAAGCGATTAGTTGTGGTTTCGTTGTGTAATGCTGTTAGAAACCAGGGCGGTTTCAATAGCTCTGCTGAAAGACATTGTGCTTTGCTTTGGACCCAGGGGATGTCGAGATGCTGGAGGATGTGAGCAGTGTCAGCAGTCAGGCAGCCAGGCCTGTCTGTGTCTCTTCATCTTTTTTGTGGAGAAAGAATAAAGGACAAGAGAAGCGAAATGTGTGCTTTACAAAGAGAAGAGAACCTGGTGCATCAGTGATACTGAGGACCAAAGAAAATGCAAAGATTAAGAACACTGAAAGAAAGAAAACAGGGGTTGGACTGAATGATGGGAAGGACAGCTGAGGATAACTCAGTTTTCTCCTCAGCAGAGGTTTTGGGGGAAAACGGGCAATGAGATGAGTCAGACTATGAGGTAGACAGAAGGCAGACAGGCTTGCGCATCCCTGCGACTCATCTTGTGATCTCACTTTCTGGTTCACAAGACTTTCCTCTGCTGTGGAGCTGAACTTGTTTCTGAACTGCCCTTAAGTGCAAGATCAGTGTCTACCTTTTGTCCTCAAAAGCTCCTGAGAGGTGCCGCGGAGCTCCTGCGCGCCCAGGGCTCGCGGTGCTGCTGGCTCGGCCAGCTGTGCTGCTGTGCTGCTCCACGGGAATCAAAGCTTGAGAAACTTGACTTTTAAAGTGGCCTGAAAATATGTATTTGTGGCCTCTGTAGGTTAATCATAACTATTAAGGCAGCAGGTTTGGGAAAATGACAGGATTTCCCCTGTGCTGGGAAAACTTGCCCAGTGATCCAGTGGCAGCTTCTGCTCATCTGAAAAGCGTCTGCCTCCCTCCCACCCGCAAGGTGCCCACATCCTGCTCTGAACTTGAGCCTCTGAGGAAGGACACATATGTTGAGTCAGTTATTTTTGCTCATGTAAACCTTGCAACTTCAGGTGCACATGCAGTTTAGAGGGAAGAGGGGTGTCAAGGAGCCGGGAAGTTTATGTAACGTACAGTGGGATTAATCTCCACCTGGATCTCCGAGTGCTAATGTTTCTTCAGGTGCTTGAAGTTGGGTGGTGTGACATCCATGACCTGCACCATTTGCCTCTTCAGGCAAGCCGTGTTTCCCACGTTTCACATCTCCTCCCCCAGGCCAGGCAAGTTGCAGCACGTTTGCAAGGTCGGAAACTCCTGAGGTCTGCGGCTGCCCTTCCGTTCTAACCTCAGGCCATTGGTGGTGTCAACGTGAATTCTTTCCTAAATGATCTGGATGGTGTGAAGCCTGGAGAGGATCTTTGTCAACAGGATAATTCAGTGAATTGCTTTGTGATAATTAAAAAAAAAAAAAAATCACGTAATTGTAGGTTTCATTTCAGACTGATTCCTGTAGGAAATCTTCCAAATCCAAGCGAGACAAAGAGAAACAGGCTTGCAAGAGCTGCAGCGAAAGCTTTAACTCCATCACTAAAAGGAGACACCACTGTAAGCAGTGCGGGGCAGTAAGTATCATGTGGCAAATGGATATAAATTTTCAGATGAAAAGAGATCTAAATATATAGTTAGGGAGTTTAAAGAAACCTCAATCCCGGCCTTTGAAATAAAACTACTATGGAGGTGACATTGTTGTACTGGAATTGGGATATTCAATCTTGGCTTGTATTTAATAATGATTAAAATCATGAAATAACGCTTTTACAGGTTTAAAATGTTCTGCTGAAAGGCTCAGTATTATTAAAGAAATGAAATAAAAGCTTTCCCCCACGGACAGAAAGATAACAAGAATTACATTATTAATAATTTATTGTTAAACAGTTCTTGGTTATGCGGTGTTTTTCTGATATGGCAATAGCATTCAAATTGAAGAAGTTAGTCTGCCTCAAGGAAAGATCATCATATTTCTAAAAATTCTCACTAACTTTTGTTTGTATGGCTTGGCAGAATGGTGCTGCACTTAACACTTCCATGCAGCGCTGAGCTAAGGCTGTCAACCTGTGTGCCGATTAGTGTCTTACCCTTGTAACTGATGGGCATATGTGGGGTGGTAATATGTAGTAAATTAGGACTGGATGACAAATACCATGGACTGCCTGTCCGCTGGACCTCAGGGAATCGTTTCCCTCCTCGGTGCAGCTGCTCCACAGCAAGTGGCAGAGCTGGAAGTGAAGCACAAACCAGGCTGCACAGCGGTAGAGCCATCGCTCTTGTTCCGTGGGATGGATGTTTCCTTGTGTGCTCTTAGAAAATAAAGAAAGGAGTCTTAAGTTGTTAATTTGGCAGCAGACAGATATTTTTCCATGGATAATATACTGCCCTGTGTTCTAGAAATATTTGAAAAATTTGGATGCTTCAGTTCCTAAACCTAGGTCCTTATTGACTCATAAAGGCTTCTGTATATGGAGAGAAAAAAAAAGGTTACTTCTAAGTATTTCGCAAAAGGCACATGTTTTCTTTAGTATCTTAGTGTACAGCAGAGGACCACAAAAAAATAGTTCTAATTAGAGGTAAATAAGGCAAATATAATATTGGCTATTTTATCTTGTACTTACATTAGCTTTCAGGATTTTATTTAATAACATCCCTTCTGCAATAGCAATAACATCCCCTCTGCAAGTCCCTTTGTTTAGAGCGTAAATAAGACATCTTGTGCTTTAATAATGGCTGAGAAGTAAAGTGCTGTCTTTCCGATGCAGGTGATCTGTGCAAAATGCTCTGAGTTTAAACCACTTGCAGACAACAGCCGCCATAATCGGGTGTGCAAAGACTGTTTCCTGCAGCTGCCAGGAAGCCCTTGCAGCCCTGGATTTGAAGCAGGAGGAGAACAGAAGAAGAGACTGGCCGCAGAGGTATGGCATCTAACCAACATACTTGCAGTGGGCCAGTGCCCTCGGGAGTCTCTAGGGGATATATGGAGGCTGTTGTCTGGGGGGCTTTTTGGAGTGTTTGGTTGATTTTTTCCCACTATGATATTTGCCCCTACATGACAGTTATCCCAGTGGAGGCCCTATGTGGCGTATAATGGGCATTGAATGGGCAGGCAGCCTGAGTTCTGCTCGTGAGTGGGTGTGCTTCTCATACGTAGCAGGATACACACGGATTTCGGGGCTGGACCTCGTCTGCCTAAGTATCAGAAATGAGAAGGACCTTCTGGATTTTTCTAATTATTCTGTGTTTCCAGTCTTGAGTTATTCACAACAGTTGTTGGCTAAACTTGGCAAAATAAGATTTGTTTTTGCCCTTTTAACTCCATGTAGAAGTATTTAGGGAGAGTCTGGCACCTCTAATATTTCATATCATCTCAAAATATCATTGGAATAATCTTTCCCTTCATTGATCATGCAAAAGGATAGGATCTTTTTTTCAAAGACTATCAGGATGGAGCTTTATCCAGAATGTGATTTTTGCCAATTATACTACACAAACTACTTCTCCACAGTTGCCACAGTCTTTATACCATGACAACAGCACAGCTTACCTTGATCTTTTTAGCAAGAACAAGACCAGCATTTGAAGTACCTAAATATACTGACAAACATGTTTGTTTTATCCTCATCCACAACAACTGAACTTTCTCTTACCAATGCTTTTTCTAGATTATGGGCAAAGCTGGGAGTTCTAGTACATGCCACACTTTCTACAGTACACCTCGAAGAAAAGATTTTTATTTATTTTACCTGTGAAGTACAACCAGAAGCCATTATGTACTAAAAAGATGACACACACACACACTGCCACATACCCTGGGAAATGGACAAACAGTTGAAACCTATATTGAAAAACCTGGAAAATGCTTTCCTGGAAGCCACCTTTCATAGACCTTCAAAGAGCCTTCCAATGCTGTTGTGCCCCTCTGCAGGAGCAAGTTACGGTGCCTGAGCAAGAAACGTGGATTTGCCCCAGCAGACCCCCGGCTCGGGTGCCCTGTGCTCTGCACCCCAGCCCATCTGGATCCACAGAATCCGAATCTGCACACGCAGCCCTTCCTGAGCTGCTGCATCCGCAGGGCTCTGGACCCAGGTGCTGATACCATTAAAAGCTTCAGATAAGCTGTACAGTTAGGGCTACAGGTGGAGAGCACTCAGTATGCAGCTGGGGTATCTCACTGTGAACTTTCTAGCACTGTTTCAGCAGAGCTGTTTGCCAGTAAAGCAAGAAGCTGCACTTACCCTTCAGAGGGCTCTGCTAATCTGAAAAGCCAAAAAGCAAACCAGTGAGATGTGACCTGTGGCTTTAATTCTAAAAGCAGATTACTACTGTATAAACCCAAGGAAGAGTCATTTTCATTCATATAGACTTCTAGCCTTGTGATAAATCTTCAAAGGATCAGGTAAAATGCAAGAAAAGTTACATAGACAAAAAGGATCAGAGCAGCCCTTTATTTCCCTTCTCTCTACATTAAACTTTGTTAATGAGCGCAATAGCAGCTGAGGAGTTTTCCACTTTACAAACACTCTAAAGGATCGGGTAAAATGCAAGAAAAGTTTCGTAGACAAGAAGGATCAGAGCAGCCCTTTCCTTTCCCTCCTCTCTACATTAAACTTTCTTAATGAGCGTAATAGCAGATGAGGAGTTTTCCACTTTACAAACACTCTTAGAAGATGCCAGAAACCCTCAAGAGACTTCTGTGTAAAATCTAACATGAACTGGAATTCTCTTTCTTTGGTTTCCATCAGGATTTTTTTCCATGTTTTTTGCCACAGAGTGCTCTCATACGGATCACCGCGTTATCTTTGCACCCACGTGCAAGCATGTCCATCGATACCAATGCAGAAATCAGCTGCTAAGCCTGTGCTCTCTTTCAGCCCCAAAGACAACAACCCAGTACTCCTGTTCTTCCTCATCTTTTCACTATTGCCTGCCCAGTATTCATTCCAAATTTGAGATATTTCCCCTGCCCTCCCTGTGACAGCAATCCAAAGCAAGCACAGAGACAACCTGGGACACGGCTTCTGGCAGAGGGAACCAAACTCACCGAGTACAGATGGAATAAGACTGCAATTTTGAAAGACACTTTTTTTCCCTTGTCCTTTCCCAAACTACCCGGGGCACGCCATGCGCTGAGGCAGATTGCAAAGGGGGCAGTGTCAGAACAGGTCCCACACCGGAGCTGTTTCCATCGGCAGCCTCGCGTCCCTGTATCCCGCGTGCCTGGCAGCGACGCCGTCCCCTGCCGAGGCAGCCCGCGTGTCCTGAGACACCTGTGTCGTTCATGTAAAATCATCTCCCAGCCACTTTGCTAAGCAGGAAACTAGTGGTGTCCTCTTAATTGTCCTTCTGGGCTTATGCTGTGGAAGTGGAATTTAACAGCCTGTCTGCCGGGAACAGCAGCTCAGCATCTGTCTCCATCACCTGGAAGCTGCTCCTTCTTGCTGTATGTGGGAATGACTGCACTTCGGTTATAGACTGCCCAGCATTTGCCCTCCTGTATTGTGCGATTCCAGACAACTTAAATGCAGTGTGTTTTATATTTAATTCAGTGTGTTCCGTCCACATGAGCATGAACGGCAACATAACTTTTTTTTTTGTTTCTTTTTTTTCAGAAGCAAAGCATATTGGCAGCTGAAAACAGCCTCTTCAGTAGCTACCTCCAATTCCTTGAAAAAGGGAAGACTTGGCATAAAATGTGGGTGACCATTCCCAAGAGTGAACCTCTTGTTTTGTATCTGCAAGGAAGTAGCCAGGTAAAGTCACGTTCATGAGGGGTATCATTCAGCAAAAAGGGCTTAAGTTTAAATATGACCAACTGAGGGAAAAAAAGTCAAAGGATGTGACTTGATTTCAGCACCAAAAATGAGTGTGGTGTTGTGAATTTAGTACAAAGCTCCAGAGATTTCAAATTTCCTTCTCATCTGCAGTAGTTACTGATATAGTTGCAAGCAAACATTTGGGCTTAGAGCTTTTCTTTTCTTTTTTCTTTGTTAACAAAGAAGAGTGAAGTTACTTCAGTCGCATTTTGTTTTCCAGAGATTTCAGAGAGGTATATTCAAAAGTTTTTATTACTCTGTCAATGGGGAAAGCACTTTTCCACAAAAGATGTAGAGCTGTGAAGTGGTATGAATATAGCAAATACTGGTTCAAGCCTTTTTACTATTTTTTTTTTCATTATTATTCCAGTTCTAGTTCTGGGTTGGGGGTAGAGGTGTCTTTGGAAGTATAGATGTTACTGGAAAGTATGTGGCAGAGCTCCTGCTATGGCCTTATCTCGTTTTATCTTTACTTGAAATAGTTACACTGTGGAAAGCATTTACTTTTAACAGAGCGACGTTGAAGCTAGCTGGCATTTGCGTGTCATGAAAGTCAAATAACCTCTAAGATAGAAATTCAAGTCATGCCTCTTGATGCTAGTAATGTAGAATGACAGCTCTGAAGTGAATTTCTCTGCATCCTGTTTTATATTTGGCATGTTTATCTGTGGCTTTGTTTGATTTTGTGGCTGTTGGGAAGGAAGGAGGAGCCTGGTCAGAATTCAGCGTGCTGCTGCCCCGGAGTAGCCGCAGTCGTATGGAGTGGCGGCGTCTTCTGATTAGCATCAGTCTGTGCCACTGTGGCTGAGAACAGCCTGGGAACAACAGCTGCCAATTACCCTGAACTCCTGGAAACGTTAGCTGCCTCATTTTAATTACTTTTTGAATTCTCTCAGTGACTTTGTAAAGGTAACCAAAGTAAAGTTTACTCAATAGCATGTGCTTGACAACAAGCACACATCATCCCTAGAACTGTGTTTGCTTTGCTTCTCGTTAGAAAGAGCACCTTTAATTTTAAGCCAATATTTTGGAGTGTTTTAAGCACAGTGCTCGAGAAGCTGGGAGCTTCAGCTCGGCGTTTCAGGCACAGGCTGACCTGGCTTCATCTAGAATTCAAACCCCATCCTGGGTGAGTGTCTAAGTGATCCCATGGACCGGGAGCTGCCCAAGCTCCCGTCTAGTCTGCAGGAGATGCATGACTGAAATCACAAGCTGCAAAACCCTCAAAACACTCAAACTAATGCAACACAAGCAGCCTGTGTGGATGTGTTTGGAGTCACCCCTAAAAAAATTTTTTTGCTTTAAAAAGCAAAGCAGAGAGAATGACTTGCCTGCAAAACTTGCCAAGTGAGGTGAAAGCTGCCCCTCTGCGTAGGACCACTGCAAACCAAACCAAAACGTGTCAGCGGGCCAAGCCCTGTTGGGACTAGGAACAAGCAGGGTGCTCACTGCAGCAGGTGCCGCGATAAATCCGCCCCGAGCGCTCTCCAGCCTCTCATGTTTTATTGGGTACGTTCATTCCTAACACACAAATGAGCTTAGGGGAAGAGGGTGAGGATCAAGGGGAAGGGCTGTAGGTTCTCCAGCCTTGTGCACCCAAGAGTCTCACATGTCACCCAAGAGGTGTCTGCAAGCAGAAGTTGAGAGAAAGCAGCACCTTGACCTAGAATGGGAATCTGTCCTAGTGCCCAACCGGTGACTCAGAACAGCATTGGTGAAACCATGGGACATAAAACAGCTGCATTTAGTGTGCAGGGTGATGCCTGGTTGTCCAGTCCCTCTCCTGCAAGCCAAGCAAGATCAGGGTGGGGAGTTGGGGAACTTCTGTGCTTCAGATGCTATAAGATTTCCTCCAGTACTGCCACATTTGATCCTGAGCCTCTTTTGATATTATTAGTAGCAGGTTATATTTTAGGGAGAAAGGGCACCTTTGACACTGATTGTCCATTTTATGACAGTTAAATTTAGTGGTTAGTTTCTTCAACTATTTCAGATGTGAGATAAATCACCCACTAAAGTAGCAAGAAAGCGCACAGGACAAGGTTAATCTGTCTTGCATTCAATAACCCAGCCTGGATTTACTGTGAGGAATCATGGTTGCTGGCTGAGACTGTGAAAAATGAAATGAGTCCCTACTGCAAGGGCCTACCATTCCCACTCACATACCATCTGCAGTTTGCATCCAGATGAAGGAAAAAAATATGGAGAAATCCAATTTCCATCCTTAATACTAACCTAACTTTAATACTAGTTCTGATTTACATAATACACACTAAACTTTTGAGAAAAGACTCTTTCAGAAGTACTGTCCTCACAGCTGAGTGCCAGAAATCCGCTCATTTTTGAGTCTTATTTTCCCAAACATCATTATCTGTTTTGTATAAAAACCTCGTTGCATCTTACAAACCTCTTTGGAGCGGTATGACTGCTGAGAGTGCAACAGAAATTGAAAAGCAGCAGTTAATTGTACCAAAATTAGTTCTGTGACTTAACATTTGAACTTCTAAATATGTGAATTGCTAAATGTTACAGAATCATCAGTCCCGATTGCTGAATAAGTCACAACCCCAGAGAGCAACTCGGGGCATTTCTAAAGAAAGCAAAACTATTGCCCTAGTTGCAAGTTGTGGTGGCAAATTTTTCTCAGGGAGCGTTGAAGTGCAGGGCTTGCCATGGCTTGGACAAACAGCATATCAATTGCAGAAGTTTTCTTTCCAAAAAGGTTAAAAAAAAATGGGTGAGGGGGAGAGCACTTCAGTGCCTAAAGAAGAGGTGCCTCTGGGGAATCATGTTCCAACAATGGCTTTAAAGGTCTTGAAACACAGACCAAATAAAGTGTGACCATAAAAGTTTTGTGTTCAAGAGTTGTGGGATTATTTTTTTAAGGAACAAGAAGAATAGCTGCCTCCTGGGAAGGAGGAATAAGCCAAACCGAAACTGGAGCTCTTGATGCACTGGAGGCCCTGACAGCTTTCATCCTCTGCACCCCGTTTCTCACGCTGAAGAAGGACTCCAGCACAAATGGAAATATGAGACTCAGCCTTCAGAACAACAAGAGCAAGAAAACTGCTCTTGTGCTTTTTGCTTGTTCCAAGAGGAGGAAATTAATCCCCTGAGTATTCACAGTTTAAGTTTTGTGTGAGATTTTATGCATGACAATAAAGTCCACAGCTTCACTTATGTGCAGAAGTACCAATTTCATCTGTCCTGGAACTGAATCCGTGCAACTGCCATGACTGAGCAGAAAGAAGAGAATTTGCTTCAAAACCTTGTAAGAAAAGATGGATAGAGAAGTCAATCTGTTGTTTTGAAGGTCTGGATTGAAACTTCTCGTTCTGCCTTGGCGGTCTGTAGGATGAAAAACTAGATCCTGAGCTCTGACACCAACTTGCTTGCAGGGATGAGAAATACAGATTTAAGGAGTCCCAGTTAGCTGCCAAAGTAGTGGATTTGAGGGAAATGCAGAGTGCAAATCTCTGGATAGTGAGAGTTGCTATATGTAATAATACCAGACTTGTTCCAACCCAAAATTCCTAAGAAAACTTTCTTAGGACCAAAGTGATTTGCTTCTAGAAAATAAGAAAGTAGTTGAGATGTTGTGATGTTGAGGGCTTTGGAGAAATATCTGTGGCTGGTTTGTTGATGGTGTTTATGTGAAGCTTTAACGGCCTCTGCAAGGAGCCGCGTCCTCCTCCTTGCCCTCTCGGCAGGGCTCCGATCCGGACAGTCTTTCCCTGCCTTTTGCAGGCTTTGGACTAGGTCTCAAGTGGGTAAGGAGTCAGTCAGGGGTGGAATAAACACAGATGTTGCTAAGCCTTCTCAAAAGAAGCAGGGGAAATCAGAGAGGCCGTCGGTGGGTGCTTGTTCTGCATCTTGGCGTGCGAGGGTCCCCGCGCCGCGCGCAGGAGGGTGTCCCGGGGGAGAGCAGGGTCTGCATCGAGTGACACCGAGCGCTGCTGCTGCCTCCGGCACGGCCCGGCTGGAGACCCCCCCGGAGCCTCGGCCCTGCCTGTTCTGATCCCTGGAATCCGTGTGGTCCGTTGGCTGCATCCGATTGCCTGTGCCTGATAAAAACAGCTTCTGTAGTTGGCAAAAGACAAAAGAGGGAAGTTATGTGAAGTTACTTAAAAATCCCCAGTTTTGCTGTTGCTGCATCTGGATTATTATTGCAAAAAGGGAGTCTCTTAAACAAGAAAAAAGTCCCAATAAATCGTTTTCTTTCCTTGCTTTATTTAAGCAGTCGGTACCGGCTCTTAGCTGTTTCCTAAGCCATGTCACCGAATTTGGAAGCGAAAGCAGGTGCAGTGCACGAGCCGGCTGGGAAGGCCACCCTGGCACCGCGTCCGCTTCTGCATCCCCGCGCGCATCTTCGCTCCTCCTTGGTGTCAGGGACAGGAAACAACTTTGTCCCCAATTCCAGAAGAAGCTATTCCAAATGCAACCTGTTGCTCTTTTGTTGTTGTTGTTTTTTCTTACATTTGCTATTTCTTCTTTTAGGATGGACGGAGCCCACGTCCTATTCCTCTGCCTGGATATGAAGTCAGTTTACCAGGTTCAGGTGAGAAGTTTGAAGTGAAACATGTTTTTAAGCTTTGCCAGTCCCAGCAGACTGTATATTTCAGTGCAGAAGACGAAGAACTGCAGGTGAAATGGATGGAAATTCTCAGCAAAGCAGCCAAAGGGGAAACTGAAGATACACCTGAAGGACTCGGCAAATCCTAGAGCAAGTCCCATTTAATTTCTTTTGTACATGCTATCAACCATCACTTGAATTTGGTATTCATGGCACTTTGGAATCTGTATGGCTTTATATTTTCATGTGTCTGCATAGGAAATTCAGTGGTTTCTCTCCTTTTATTGTACATTTCTCACGTACAGTAGTTATCTGGCATATATTATGTTAAAGGAAAAGGTAGTTGTAGTTGTTGGTGGTGTTGATGCTGGTTTTAAAACAAAAAACAAGGAGAAAAGCATTAATTTTATCAAAGGTAACGGAAAAATCATCGGTCTCTTGTTTTCCTAAATGTATATTTTCCAGTCCTTTTGATTGCTGTTCAGTGCAGGATGTGTATAGTCTGTGATTAGTTCTATAAATGCTGCCTTTAAGTTAAATGTTGTAAAGGCTTGTGCTGGCCACTGACATTCCGTTCTCTGTCGTTCCCTCCCGGTGCGAGGTCCGTGTGAAGTGTGAGCAATGTGCTGGGTATTTTCCTTTGCTGAAACTCTGTCTCTGCTACTTGGAGATGACCGGTTCGCAGGACAAATACTGTAGAAGGGACTTGTAAAAGTGACTGCCAACTGCGCAGGAAAGAACATTCAGAAGCCTCACTGATTTTAAGCATTTATGATATCATTTTGTTTACTTTTGAAGCCAACACCTTCCTTACTTCTATTTGAACCGACTTTAATGTAAGTGAACAACTGTTTTATACTGCAAACTGGGTTATGATCAATAAACAAGAACATTTTTAGTACACGCAGTACAAAAAGGTGACTTTTTTGTTGGTTAATTTAAAAGTGACCTAGGATTTATTTATATAATTTGTAAATAATGTTTCATAAGTATTTTAAGATTTTTTAAAAGATCTGAGCTAATTCACAGGATTTAGTGCATAGAATAAGAGATATTTGTATGAACTGAATTTGTAATTTAATTTTCCTGTTCACCTGTATTTGTCTTAATTTCAAACTTAAGTGCTTATCTATTTAAATAAAAAGTCATGCAGTTAACTCCTGAGCCAGATCTCCAAGGCACAGCAAGCTTTAGGTCAACATTTAACGTAGGTTTCTTGTTTTTTGTTTTTTATTTTTGTTTTTTTAAAAAAGGAATGTCTGTTCCTAGTAGTAGCAAGCATGTAGTACTGATAAAAATGAAATAAAATCTGTCACAGTACTGTGGTTTTTAAATGGTTTGGTTTAACTTTTGTTTCCTCTTCAGTCTTCTACATTTTTTGATATTGGTAGGAAGAAACAACTGCGCCATTGAGTCCCAGTTTCAGCTGGAATTGTTGGAAATTCATGATCTGCACAAGATTGGGTGTTTCTCATACCTACAGAAAAGGATGTGGTGTTTAGTGTTTTTTATTATTATTGATTTAATAAATCATATCCTTGAAGTTTGTGATACTAAAAAAATAGAAGCCGTGTGTTTAAACAGCTACTGTTAAAATTTCATGTGCTTTCCACCCCCTGCCCAAGCAATTATTGTGAAAAACGTTTCTTACAAGGTCTTTTTTATCATATGGGCTATGAAAAGGAATTCTTTTCACTGGATGTAATTTCCTCCCCTCAGCTTCTCTCCAATTGCAGTGATTTAGAACACACTTGTCTTGAGAATTCACTTTTTGTAATCCTGCTGTGTTTTTCCAGTTTTTCTTGTATTTCTCCCCTTGCTTTGTCCTTTTTTCTTTGTTGCCAACAGAGATGTGGGAAGGAAGAAGGGTGAAACCAAACCAAAGGGAATAAATCTTTCGTTTTTCCATTTTTAGTAACAAAGAAAAAAACCTTCAGCAAACTTTTTTTTTTTTTGCATTTTTATAAGCATTTTCTTTTTATAAATAGCCATGTCAAAATGCATCTTGAATCATTTTATAACCCTCAGTTCACCTGCTGCCACAGTTTTTAAAAAAGAAAAAATAAAAAAGGGGGAATTGTTGCTGTTGTTGCCTGGAGCAGCGAGGGCAGCGGCTGGCTGTGCAGCAAGCGCGTGGCCGGCGCGGCTTTCCGAGGCCGAGGAGGAACGTGCCCCATCCATGAGCAGCTTTTCGGGGATGCAGCCAGCAGCCTCCTTTATGTGCAGTGACAAAAGGTGTTGACAGCGATGGCGATCCAGCTGACGTGGCCATCGCCAGGCTTTCCAGAGCCACAGCCGGCCAAGGTACGTGGCTTCCCTGGGCCTGGGGCCTCACCTGCACCTTGGGAGGATGTGTTGGTTACGTGACTGCAGAGGCTGACTCTAAACCAATGCTGCTCTTCAGAATTCCTCGATTGCTGTCATCGCTGGGGTGGTCACTGCTTGAATTTGTAGCCATTCTTGCTGTCTGCTGCTAAAAGACGATTGTTACTATTCACATGACGAGTTGAATGAGAAGTAGCAGCTGAGAGCTGCAGTAGTGGTCAGAGGGACGGAGGGGGACGGGATGGTCTTTAGTACAGGAAGCAAAAGCTCCTGCAAAGGCCAGTGTGTGTTGCTTAACTCTGCTCAATGTGGAGCGTCTCTGCTGTTGTCAACAGGGCAAGATAAAGGACACGCAGAATTCTCTGCAGTACTGGGACTGTTATAAGCAATGGTTTAACTTTGTAGGTATTTGACTCTAAAGCGCTAATTTCTTAGTTTTCTTACCTTTTATCCTTCTTGTACCATCGTTTCTGCGTTAGAACTAAAATTTTGCAGATTTAGTAGGTGTCTACATGCCTGGATTTGCTCACACAGATATCTGCATATGAAAGAGCAGGGAGAGGGTTGTGATATTTTAGCTCTTGTGTCCATCAAGGACATGTAGATGTACTGTACAACCTCCAGCGCTTTGTCTGAATGTTGCATATGTTTTCAGTTGAATTCAGAGTCTTTGAAAGAGGCATGTCAATTCAGACTCATATTTTATACAAATATATTTGTCTTGAACCCAGATATATCTGTCCCTGTGAGCAACATAAAATATAAAGAAATATTCCTTATGTCTAAGATGTTTTGTTGCTTCCACCATGTCCCAGTGAATCGGTCAGTCCCAGGGATGGCACAGCCGTGTGTAACGGAGCCTCCTGCACTGGGGTTCTGTCCAGAGCAGGAACCATCCGAATGATTTAGGAAAGGAAGGAGGTCTCATGCTTCTTGTCCAAAACACTGAATTTCCAGCCTCTGGGCTGTTAATGGAAAAAAAGCTTATGTCAAATGATAAAACTGAAAGTTTTATTTTATTCTGGAAGATAGATGTTGCATTGTTTTCAGTGCATCTCTGAAACTGTATCTTCATTTATTTGCTTTGTATCAAAGCTGGTGGTTTCAAAGGCGTTTATTAATGCACAAAGACATCAGTAGACAATCTTCTACCTTTTAGTATGAAATGCAGCAGCATTGGTTCTTTTGCTTTGGTGATGAGGTAACCAACGATTAGGCGTTTTCTTGCCTGTTTTGCATCCCGGCGTAGTTTCTCAGAAACAGCTGCCCAGCAATAGTGAAACTAGACTCAAGGTTGTGGTTAACCTCCCCTGCCTGTCTTTCACTAGCAGCCGGGAACGTGGGTCGCTAAATATAAGTGAGCGCATATCCTGTCAACAGGCCCCTTCCCCGGGCAGGCGCCTCCCGTTGCTCCGTGTCCCTCTCCGGGGCGCGCGGCGGGACGTGTCGCGCTCCCGGGATCGCGCCTCGGCCGCCTTCCCTTGGCTGCGGCCCGGGAGGTCGGCGGAGGGCGACGGGAAAACGAAGCAGGGGCCAAACAGGCTGTTCGGAGGGCAGGTGCGGACTGTCCCTGCCCCGATCCCGCGTGTGATCCAGGATCCTGGGGGGAATTCTGCTTGCCGCCCCCGACATAGAGACCTTTCAGAGCTGTAACCGGCTTGCATAGGCGTCTTGCAACTAACCTCGGCCTTTGGAGAGTTGCTGTTAGCATGAGCCATAGAAAAGGCTGTTATTCAGATGCGCCTTATCAAAGCGGTTTGAAGTTCAAACAACAAATCCTCACCTGGAGTGAATAGCATTAACTTGCCAATCCATTGGAATGAGCCTAGGGACTGGACTGCAATGTTGATTTGTCTTTGACTGACAGCACATTTCAAAAGAGCCTTCCCTCTTCTCAGTGCTTTTTCCTACACCGTGCTTTCCCCAGCCCCTCTCCACGCAAAAAGCTTAGTTAAAAGATTGGTCTCGAAGCAGAGGAGAGGGGTGTGTAGGCAACGAGTACTGATCCATGGGGAGTCATGCTCAGTTTGGCGAGGACAGGAGTGAATGACCCGATGTTTTAATGAAACTCTATGTTCCTGGGTCGAGAACGTGCACATAGCAGGTGGCAACTCTGATTTCCAGGTCTCTGTGTTGTTTCGGTCAGGCTGACCTCTTCTGCCTTGCAAACTTAAGCAGCTTTCCTGTATTTCAGGAAGATGCTATCCAGATGTGAGAGTTTTTCAATTCACTGTTCAGGTAGAAGAAGTGTCACACACAGTCTGCAGTTAGGGCCTATTTCTGAAAAGGAATATTTATCCCAGCATCTCAGATAGGCAAGGATCTGTCAGAAGACTTTTATGGTATGTTATGAGAAGTTGCCATTTGCTCTATAAAGGACTATGCAAGAAGAGCTAAACAGGAAAACACAATGGGTCTCACTTCTAGTGCAGGAGAAGATGCAGGAGATTCCAGGTGAGGATGGCAATGTTCAGTGTGAAACCGAACTGGGGAAGGCAGCAAGCAGCTGACTTCTAGCTTGGGTAAGAATAGTTAAACATTGTGCATTGGCCTCATGCATGCATTATTAATTTCACACTCCACTTTGGGCAGCACATTTTTGCTTTGATAAAAAGCCCAGTATTGGCTCAGATTTTTCAGAAGCTCTAAGGCGCTCTCAGGAAATCGTGATTTTCAGCACTTTGAAGTTGCCTGTGGTAGTCTGGCTGCTTTGAGCAAATCTGGGAGCACTGGTACATCTGCACAGGCAGCTGTAGATTAGGATGGTGTCCTGGGAATTCCAGTGCCATCAAGTTGTTCGTAAGTTGAACAGTGCATTTCATCTGTCCATAAAGGAAATGGTACACAGAGTTTTCAGAAGGGTGTTTTTTTAATATCAATAAATAATTCTGAAGCCAGTGAGTGTGGAAAGGGAATAAGTGAGGAGCTGAATCACATTAGAAAACTCTCGTATAGAAAATCACACGGTAGAGAAATAAACTCATTGCCCACATTCTACAAGGCTTACAACCAGGTAGGACCCACAGGGTGGTCTCTCAACAGTCGTGGAGAGGAACAGTAAGGTAAGAAATGTTCCAGTCATGGTGTGAAAGTTGTCTTAGGAAACTGCTGAAATCTGCAGCCTGTTCCTTAGGCTGTGCCAGAGAGACCGGAGCTGAAATAAGGACTGATGCTGCACGTGTGCAGTTCACGTGGAAGGAGTTAGCCCAGAACCTGAGTGTGTACTGAAAAAAATGCATGTGCACGATGAAAACACCTGCCTAAATGTCGTGCCTAAATGTTGGGCAGCTGGTCCTGGGATTCGTGTGCCCAGGGCCCAGCTAGAGGGACCGGGGCTCCTTGTGCCTCCCCAAAGCTGGCTGAGCTCTCTCCCTTGTATTCCCCACCTGCTTTTTTTCATGCTTATCCTTTGCTGCTGCTGTTCAAATAGGGGCCACATGTGGTGACAGCAAGAGGAAGGCTTTTAAAAACAAACAAAATCTTCCTAAATAGAAATAGAAGAGGAAGATGGTGCTTTGCTGAGTTAAGAGCTGGAGTCCTCTCAGGAGAAGAAAATCATCTGTGCAGGGGTTGATAAAG